TTCTAAAAGTTTTAAATTATTTTATCGATCGAAGTGAGCACCAAAGTGTGTCTCGAAACGCGTATCGTACTTTCTATAATTTGGTTATATATTTAAATAAATGTTTTTTCTTCTTCTCTGTTAGATACTTTTTTAAATATTAGAACCGTATTCAAAGCGAAGCACAAAGGGTAAAAATATCAGTACTTGTGCTAAGGGAAGCCATCAAAAATAACTGAACGTGTGGAACGTGGAGATGGACTACATTCCACGCATATATGGCTGTGTATATGTCTTCCTTTCGGATAGTAAATGTTTTTAACTAACTGACTGTGTCGTTGCTTTGATACTGAAGCTGATGCATCCCTTTTTCATTAAATCTTTACCCACCCTTTGAAAGGTGTCTCTCTGTCGCCCGCAGGGTCGTCGCCGCAGGGTCGACCTCAACTATTGTTCTACTCTTCAACATGCTTTACAAATTTCTTTTCTTTAATCATATTTCTTTGTATCAGTTATCAGTCTCTTATTCATTTTTTTTCTTATTTTGTGTTTTGTACGTCTGTTATTATATTTGCTACTCGTTTGTTCTTTAATCCTTTACCTCACTTTGGTCACTGGAATGACCATTTGCAGATCGATGGCAAAAAATAAGAAAGCTTGGAATTTAAAAACTTTGGGGAGATGTTTTATAGCGAAGTCCATAAGCTTTCGATTGATAAAAAAAGTATTTTGTTTCGTCGGTTTGTCTCCGAAAAAGATGAATGCCTTGAAAAAGTCCTATTTTAGGCTTTTCGTAAATCTGATATAGTTCGACCAAAAACATCGTAGAGAGCTCGGGGACATTTCATTTTGTAGAGAATTGTTTGCTCTATCATTCTACGTACTTTGAATGAAATTTTATTCTCAGGTTCTAGGCGCTAAAAAACTAGGGTTTTAGTTTTCTAGAAAACTCTATTTATTGTATTTGTGGTTTATTCAGAATCTAGTGATGGTTTTTAGTTTCTCAAATCCTTGTTGGAAAAAATTTTCCCTACTCAGGTCACTATTTGAATTCTTTTTAGCGTTTATAGCTGCGAAAAAAATCGAAAATACACCCAGTTGATCAATTTTTATAACCGCTGTAGTTTATCTGCACTTAGAACCTGCGACTAAAAAAAGACATGCTCATAAAAATGCAATCGCTAATCGAAAAATAGCTCAATATGTTTGTCTCAACCTCCTCTGCATATACTGATCTCACAAAGTCTTCCAACTCTAGGGGTGCTGACTTACAGGCTTTCCAAAAATCCTAGGGATTTTCGAGTATTTCGCAGTTTTCTCCCTCAAAAAGCACTTTTTCTTGAAAGTAAGGTCATATTCAGAATCAGCGTGAAAAACTGCATCGAATGGTGTATAACTCATCTAGTCTCGGTCGCTTGATTTTGAATTCTAGAAATTTCGCAGTTTTTGAGATTTACACAAACAATTTCGTGCTGAAAATTTGAATTTCAAGATACAGTAACCTGAACGACTCGAAACATGTTTCTTATAGGTTTTCGACAATGCTCTTTCCAGTGGCATCATTTTTAAATATTGAGAAAGTTTTCTGAAGGGTTTTCCAGAGACTGGATCTCTGGAAAACTCCTTAAAAAAGTTTTTCAAAGCCCAACTCTCATGCCATTAGAAAGAGGATCATGAAAAACCTATAAAAAAATGGTTCATGAAATTTTAGTTCACTCATAAAGCTAAAGTCCGCCTGCTCTAGCAAAAAGTGCCCACTGTGTGTTGAATGACATTCACAGTCTGGATCTGACGCATTTGACAAATAATTATGAACGCATTCGAATAAAATTACGTCAGATGGATTGCAAAATGAGAGACGTTTTGCTGAGACAGAACAAACCTATTAATTGAAATAAAGATGTCCTTTTCCATTTATGGTATACACCTATTCATCCACGAATAGTGCTCGTAATGTACAAGGCATGCAGACGGGTGTTTGACGACACCCCACTAATTCAGAAATTAATGGTAGGTGATTATCGGTTAACGCCGAACTTACAAAGAACCTTAATTCAGAAGAAACCCGCACCTACAATATTGTAAGGAGTAGAGAGGTCAAATTCTAGTTCAAGAATGTTCTGGACGATATTTGAAATATGTTTGGTGATAAGAAGGGTGGTATGTAAGGTTCGAGCTGATCAACGTCAAATCATAACTTCTATACTAAAGAATTTCCTTCCATTCATTCATATATTATTGATTATTGAATAAAAATTGAACATACTTTTTGGAGGTAATAAACATAATTCTCACGCACAGACGTAGGCATGCACGGATTTGTCGAAGTTCACCAATTTAACTTTCGCCAACGTACGCCAATAGACGGCGAATGTTCCCGAAAATTGGCGAATGTCACGAGAACATTCACCAATCGCCAATATGGCGAATGTCTATTTTGTATTTTTATTGTATTTTTTGCAGTTACAGGATGAGCACTCCAATGAATACTGAGGACAGGTACTGGGGAATGTCACCGAGACATTGGCGAATGTCGTGTGAACAATGGCGAATATCGAAGGGGTATTGGCAAATGTCTATTGATGAAGTTGAATTGGCGAAACGCGACTTTACCACATGCATCGAATTGACTAGGGATTTTATATTTTCTCCAAAACCTGGCGTTTCGTAAATTGCTTCGTTAAAAATTTTCTGACTCGGTAAGAACGTAGAGCAAACATTTCTCTAAAAAATGAGTGATTGGACAGCTCTGTATGGTTTTTTTGAGATTTCGGTAGCGATACCATAATCGAGTTGTAAACGAGTATCGAGTACGCGATTGGTCCCTTATGGACACAATTTTTTTTCATTATTCATTATTCATTATATATATTTTTTATATATCGGTTCGTTTTTATGCCGCTTTTGAGGTAAGATGTTACCAGTTGCCTGGTGAAAGTTTAAAGCCTTTTAGCAAAATTCTCATAATTTTTGCACAAAACGTCACCCAGAGCTAGGAGACATCTGGTTTTTATCAGAAATATTTGCTCTACATCCTGTCATCAGTGAAAATGTTTGCGGATTTGTTTTTTACCAGAAAAGCGCAAGGGTTTGGAAAGTTAGTTTTTCAAGGCTCCCAGAAAACGTTTTTGATACCTCCTCGCTGAAGAACAAATAACTATGGATTCTAATAGTTGACACAGTGGACTATTCGATGGTGTACTTAGCTCAATATAAATTTTTAATATAAAGCTCATGTTTCAAACAGCAACTGAAAGCTGTAAGTATCAATCAAATGAACTTACAGAACTTGACCTATCCAAGATTCGAAGATTAGAAACTAGATTTGATGGTGTATGCAATTGAATTAATGGATCAATATATTCTTTAACTGATAAATTGTTCTTTTCTGTGAATATTACTTTTTCAACTTTCATAAACCTACAAGGAAAAATCAATGAAACAAAGTTCAAATTTCTCTCTTTCACATACGAATGGTTTGATATCATTTGTCTCGTCTGAAATATTATTAGAAGAATTATAATAATATCATCATTTAATGAGCTAACGATGCTGATGATTTTTGTTCAACAATGAAGAATAATTGAAACTTACTTGACCGACACTGAGGTCGATTGAAGATATTGGAGAACTTCGTTCACTATCAGTATTTTGACAGAAATTACGCTCGAAAGTATAGAAATCATTTTCGTTTGATCCAACTAGAAAAAACAAAATAAAAAGTAATATAGATTATATGTAAGTTTAGATGGTTTTGTACTCACCGTTTGACCGTCTAGGTGAATTGTGGCCTGAAGACGGCTCATGTGTAGAAACACTTTTCTGCCGACTGCTCCTTGCTAAAGTAAATTTAGAAATGATTGATCAATAAACTAAAGTATACATGTAACACACATTGGGATGTATTGGGCTTTATTTCTAATCGTTCGCGAACTCTTTGCATGAATTGGCGACATTCTGGGGTGTTATACACTATATGAAGTGTTTCGGATGGTGTCTCAATAACATCACAACCATCGCGTGACTGACCTACGAAGAAATTTAACATAATGTACTCAAGAATGTCTCGAAAGCAAACTACCTTGATCCCAAGAACAATATGGGGTTGGCCAATTTGTCAGTTCCTAAATCAATTCCATTCATAGTTAAGATCAGTTTACAAAAACTGAAAATAAAACTTACACTATCGTTTTGGTCGTTTATACACAAATACCATGTCTGTTGTTCTATATGAGAAATTAATCTTACTTTTGCATGTTCGTATTCCTGGACGGACGATTCGTTTTTTGATACAACAGCAACATTTTTAGCAGTCATTGAACTAAGGAGAAAGGGAGAAAGAATATTTACAAGATTGTTACTTTTTATTTAAAGCCTTACGTTGCCATCTTTTACAATCGTTGTCTTTGAAATTGTTTTAAACTTTTAGTCAGATACTAAAACAAAAATTTGACAATGTAAAGACTTGATAATGGTTGCTCGTTAAAAAAAGACCAGAACAGCGGCCTTCATTTTGCGTTTTCTTAGTATATATATACTTTCAAGAACTAGAACAAATATTCCTGTAACATGTTTTCTTTTTCTCGTTTTCTTCTTCGTTTCTATAGTCAGTCGCACGGGTGCGTGTGACAAAAATAAAATTTAGGTTTTAATAGTGCGCTTAGAAGAATTTATTAAAAGGTAGAAAAAAATAAGACAACACAAAAAATGTGCTATTGTTTTTTTCTGTATTACATTTCACTATTAAGACTTTCAGTTGTGTTTGATCAAAGAAAGGTGAGACAAAGAAAAGTTGAATACCTTTAGTTTATTGCGGGAAACAAAGAAAAAATTGAGAACAATGAAAACAAGGAAGCACAATGTAAAAGGAATGTAGCATTGCTTGTTTCCTAGGGCTTCAGAGAAAGCAATAGAATAATTCAGTACGGACCGAAAGATAAACAACAATGTGTGTTTGTTAATTTCTTTCTCGCGCTATTTTCTAAGTTTCAGCACCTCGAGATCTCATATTAGACATTATGAGTAATATCCAAACTAGAAAATTAAGTGAATTAACCGGAAAAAACATATTACTGCCAGTACAACTGTACCTCTCTGGAACGAAAACTGATTCATTTGGTAGAGAGAAGAGAAGAGAAACTGTTGAAGTCTTAATGAAAAAGTGTAAGCATTTGAAGCCTAAGATAAACTGTTTTCAAAGCTGATACTGAGGAATGGATAACAAGATAGTTGCTCCCCTAACAGTGGCTCCCACGACTTGCTCCCGAACGACACTTACTCCTCAAAGACACTTATTCCCCTACGAATTGCTCCCGTGCGACCGTTGCTGCTGCAGCACTCGCTCCCCAACAGTACCTGCTCCCATTGAAAGTCCGAAATGATTTTTGAAAAGATAACAGTTGATAGAAATTGGCAAAAAGTTAAAATAGTTATAAATCAGTGCGAGGTTTATAAATCATCGATCTCTTTTATGTCTGCTCCCCAACACAGTCTGGTACAGACGAAGAAAGAAATACTAATGAGGAAAGGTCCCAAGTGTGTAATCGCTTTTTGCTTAAAATCTAGTCAACAATAAGTAATCTACTGCGAGAAACCCGAATCTGACATTGGTTTATGCTGCTAGACCTCCAGAGATCGAGTTTCTGGAAACAAGGACACTCTAAAAAATAATCAAAACCTTTCTTAATGAGGCATGATTGTAGACGGCGAATTTCTTATTAAAATGAGACATCTCCCAGCTCTACACGACTTTTCTTTGCAGAGTTACAGAATTTACACGAAAAGCCCTAAATGGTCATTGTCAACTCAAAGCTACAGAAATAACAAGAAATTAATTCAGGGCTTTTCCTGTAATTTCTATAACTCTGCAAAGAAAGATCGTGTAGAGCTGGGATATATCTCATTTTAATAAGAAATTCGCTGTCTACAATCATGCCTCATTAAGAAAGGTTTTGATTATTTCTTAGAGTGTCCTTGTTTTCAGAAATCCGATCTCTGAAGGCCTAGCAGCACAAACCTATGTCAGATTAGGATTTAGCGAAACAGAAGTTTTGTAAACTATTAGATGTATACAGAAATCGATAATGCCAATAGATCTAGTTCATTCACATTCAGATTGCTCGCAATGTTTTTGGTCTGCCTAAAGTGTTTGTTGGGTTCCATAATGTTTTGGTCCATAACCAGAGAAAAGTCTTAGTGAAGTTTGGAAGGAAAAGAGGAACTAAGTAGATATTAAACACGTTGAGTATTCCATAAATAGTTGATAACAAGATGTAGTTGGCATATTTGAGAGTTATCAACGTTTTAAATTTTCTAACGAAAGAGTATGTTTAATAGAGTGGAAGAGGTATTCGGGGCTACAGTGGACCAGTCAGTGTGGAGATTATTTCGATGTAGCTGGTATAGTATAGACATTCCAAGAGAAAATGTCTCACTGTCTATGCTTCACCACAGGTACAAAACTTTGTTAATTACTTTTTTAAGTGAATGTCTTTCTAATGCCACTATATAACATGTCGATCAAATAAACACGATGAATAAAAGTTGTTTACGTCGATTCAATTAAGCCTTCCCGCCCCCTCAGAAATGGTGATTTTGAGCAAGTTTTCTAAATGTCTCGAAAAACCGGGTCTTCAAATAATAGTTTTTTCCTGGATACTTATGCAATTAAAATTTTTCTGAAAACACAGATTTGTAGAGCAAACGTTTCTGATCAAAATAAGACCTCGTACAACTCTGTATGACTTTGCATCAAAAAGTTACAGGTACAGTTACATTTTCCTAGAAGTCCTAAAACGGAGCGTTTTATACAGCGTTTGCTCTACATGGAAGTTATACCTGAAGTGTATCCCAAGATTTTTAATAGCGGTTCGTTGTAGAGAGTTCATTCTTTTTTTGTTTAAAAGAGGAAAAGAAACTACATCGACTGACAAGCGCCGATTTTTGAATTAGGCCCTAGTTTTTTGTCAAATAGAAGATTTTTAGAAAAGCTTTTTCGAGTTTTGGAGGCTGCTGGTTATCTGGAAAACCCATAAAGGCTTAATTAAAAAATCGGCGCTTATCAGTCCATGTAGTTAGGTGTCTAGTTTAAAATAAAACAAGCCCGAACTTTTCAGTTTAAAGCATATTAAAAAGTCTTCAGGGTCCTTTTTCAACCTTGATCTCGGGAAAACTCCTAAACCGTAAGACTTGGAGACAAAAAAGTTTTTTCATTCCCGTAACTCATTGTGCCTAACATTTATGGAAAGTTTCGTCAAGATCGGATGTACGGTTTCAGAGATAATTTTTGAGGGGGCAACCCTTAATGTAGGAAATTGATATAAATATGTCACATCTGTTTGAGCACCATAAAAGATAATTTTCTCCATTACAAGTTCTATTCGTTCAGTGGTTGTTGATCCGATTGAAGATACTTTTTCATGAATATTGCTGGACATGTTATCACTTTATTATCTACTTTTACCTCAATATTTTCAAGTTCCGTCATTAATTTTGTTGCAAAATAAATTTGCTAGTTGTTAACACGGAACATTTCTTCGACACCGCCAGTTTTGTACTTATTAATTAGCGTAACAGTCACAATTGAATCATCTGTTTGCATAAGTTATCTTGATTCTCTTGTTGAAAATTTATTTTTACCAATAACAACTGTTTAAAAATATTCAATTCTTTGTGTATTATATCTAACTCTGATTGTTTTTACATGTTTTTCTTCAGTATCAGTTGTTTTTCTAAATTTTATTGATTTTTCGTGTTTATTTGAAAGTGTGATTCTCTTGAACACATGACGTTTCATTGTTTTATCAAAATGATCCGTACACAAAATTGATTGTGCCAATTGATAATTATTCAATATATTTAATATTTCTTCACTATATCGACGGGTACCCATAACTATTGATGCAATAGTTCCTAAACGTAATGTTTATGGCTTATAGAACGGTTATTCTTTCTTCCTTATCTCTTTCGTTGATGCATAACGAATTCGATGTGCACGATGTGCCAAAGTATTCAGTTGGTTATAACTGGAAAATGGTTGATTTCACTGTTCTTTCGATAACCATAATCTAAACAAACATTTCTATAACACAACAGACTACAACACGCTCGCAGAAAATGCCCAAAAGAGAAAACTGAACTTACAAACTAACCCTGACATACTGTATGTAAACTATCGAAAACGAATGACCTTGCTATATTCAAATGCTCTACGATTACATTTTCCGAAATACGCACGCAGGTGTTTAGCTAATATTTTCAGTCGTTGAACACATTCGTTCAGTGTAGTAGACACTATCAAACCTTAAAAGGTTCTGCATCTCAGCTAGAACCTCAAAAATTTCATCGAACACCTTTTCTTTTTTAAGGAGTAGTCGTGTCCAAAACAAACAATATAGTAGAATGTTTTGTTTCAGACATTAGATTTAAAAGATACATACAGGATCTGTTGATTCGATGGAGAGTGCCAGCAACATAACTAAGTCTGTCATTTCATTATTATATGTCCAGTTTATCATTGATTTTAAACTTTTCAGTAGTATTTGAATACAGAAAACTTTGTAGCGAGATATTTTGTACACGGATACTTTAAAAATAACACTTGAAACATCGTTTGTATTGAAATTTGTTGGTAGAGCAGTTGGAAATAAGTATTTGTAAATCGAATATAGAACTGCTATGAATAACATGACTTTCAGTCTTGAAAATACTTTATTCGAGCTTTCACCAGCTTTCAGTTGGCATCATCAGGGATGTAATAGACATTCGAACAAACGATGGTATAAAAAGAAGCGCATAGTAGTAAGCGTATTCGTATAGCTGTTACCAGTGTCCAGAGACCTGAACAACGTACATAATGTTTACGCGAATAGACAGAAAGAAACGACACGAATCTACCGCATTTATCTTTCAATAAATAAGGATCTTTCAAATATGAAAATATGC